CGGTGAGGAGCTGGAGTGGAAATTACCTAGTTAATTAGAGCGATGGCTTTATTCTGCCCGTGAGTAAATGCCGAGGTGTAAATCCAAGGGAATTTAGGGGAATTAGCTGCCTATGTGGAAAGTGCAGGAGCAGCTCCAGCATCTCGTCCCAGCCCCTGCTAATGCTGGGGTCGGTGTAGAGTTGCTGAACTTTACCGTCACAACAGCTCCTGTTGTGTCTGCACGGATTAACTCCTCCGAGTCACGGGAGAAGCGGGGAAACGTTCCTCAGTCGCGACATCCGCGATTGTGCACACTTGTGTAGGCTCCGCTACAGAGCGGGTGCGTGTGAGACGGGCAGACGCATCGTCTTGTTAAGATTAAATAAAAATGGTTTCAGGGAAATAATTTTGTACTTCTTTGAAGCTTTTCTGCCTCCACAGCTGCAGATGAGCGAGCGAACGGCGATCCCGGCCGCCGCCCCGCGGGTCCCCTCCGGATGCCCTTCGCAGCCGGGGACCGTGAGCCCTGCCCGGGACAGAACCACAGCCAGAGCCCGAGCATCCCCCTGCGGGTTCTGTGTGGGGCTGTGCCGGCCATGTCCCACCCAGCTGCTGGGGGCACAAACTGGGGCCGGATTTCTGCTTCTTTAGAAAGGTGCTGCGGGTGTAACTCAAAGACACAGGCAAAAGGTTTAGCTCCCAGCTTTATTTTTTAATCTATTTTAATTTTTTTTCTTTTTTAACAAGGGGTCACGAACTTTTTTTTTTTTTTTTTTTTTTTTTTTTTTTTTTTTTTTTTTTTTTTTTGCTCAGGCCAAAAACTTTCCCGCAGCCACAGATACTTTTTTTCCCTGGTCATGCTTCCCAGCTGGTGGGTTTTTAAAGAACGGCTCGGCAAAACAAAGTCCAGGCACTCCGGGTAGGGAACGGAAACCCAGTGTCACTCAGTTTTTTGGCGGGGCCTCGCTGCCTCTGGTAGCCGGACCAGAGCTCCGCAGCAGAGGGCTGTGGGGGTCCAGCCACGCAGCAGCGAACATTGCCTCCACCCTGGGAAACCGAAAGGGCTTTTCCTTTTTCCTTCTCTTCTCTTCTCTTCTCTTCTCTTCTCTTCTCTTCTCTTCTCTTCTCTTCTCTTCCGCCGACCACCATATAATTGTCCTCTGGGCTGTTGTTCACCGTCACTTTCTACCTAACTTTAACAAAATTGGAGGCCTTTATTATTGTTGCTTGACAGTTTTCGATCGGACCCGGGAAGGCTGTCCCCAGTCCCAGGCGGCGGGCGGGAGGGGAGGGGGCTGCTCCTCGTGGGCAGGGGCAGGGCAAGAAGAGGGGCCGGGGGAGGGCAGGGGAAGGACGGGGCAGCGAGAGGATCAGGGCCAGGGGCAGGGCGAGCCAGGGGCAGGGCCGGGCCAGGGGCAGGGCGAGCCAGGGGCCGGCACTCCCACCCCACCCGCGCATCCTCCCTCCCGTGGGAAGGGGCGGCGGTGGGGGGTGGCTGCTCCCCGTCACTCCTTGCTGCGAACGGTCGCCGTGACCGAGCGCTACTTTCCCGAGTCAAGGCTCTGACATTCACCCTCATCCGTTCCCTCTCGAGCATCCTCCGTGCCCACACCGGTGCCCTCGCCCGTTCCGCGGGGAGCCCCGTCTCGGGCCGGGCCGGGCGCGGCAGCAGCGGGCTCTGCCCTCGCCACGAGCAGCTCATGAAATTTTCATGATCTTGCAAGAAAGTGGAAGCCAGGGTTTCCAACCCGTCTCTTTGCCCCCGTTGATGGGAAAGTATTCCCGCTTGAAGTGGAGGGATGGGCGATGCCGGTCCCAGCGCGGGCTGCGGGGTGTGATCCCGGCGGCCGCAGAGCGTCCTTCATCCTGCCTGGCATGGGGGGAATTGGGAAAATCCGGAGGCTCCATGGGTTTCATGCTTGTGGTTGTCGGCGGTGCAGTGAGAACCCGGCGGCACTGGGGAAATGCGGCCGTGCTGGCTGAGGTCTTCTGGCCCGCCGGCTCCAGGAAAGCCTGCACAGGGCTAGGAGGGGGTTGCTGCTGGTTTTTCCCTTCCAAAATTGATGCCAGAACCCAGGGAAGGCCGAGCAGCGCCGGGCACACCGCCTGCGGCACGGCCAGCCTGGCAAAGGAGCAGCGACCTCTCCCCTCTCCTCTATCCTCCGCCAGCAGCTCCAAAGCGCTGGCAAAGCTGCCTGAAAGGCTTCGCTTGGAAAAAAAAGTGATGCCGGGTGTGAGCGGGAGGCACATGGGGGCCGCCGGGGTCGCGGCGATGTGCCCAGGCTGTGCCCACGGGGAAGCATCGCTGCCAGACATCCCCCGGCTGCACGGGCAGGGACTGGCTGGAAATGGGGAATCGCTGTAAACGCGGAGAAATTTGGTGCATGCCTGCGTTTTGCAGGCAGTCATTCCACGCTGGGAGAGCGGGAGGTGCAGCACCTCCCTTGGCTTTCACTATCGCTCAGGGCATTTTGGCTTCCCTGCACCTCGGGGTTTGTTGTTTTGTTTTGGTTTCCTTTTTCCCGAGTGTGGGGAAAAGCTGGAAGGAGGGTTTGCTCGGAGGAGCGGCACAAACAGTGCAGGAGCCTGCCCGCAGCCCGGCCCGGCCGCGGAGCCTGCCCGCTGTCCGCGGCGGGCGGGGGTCGGCCGCAAGCTCCCTCCCTCCTTCCCCGTTCCGAGCTCCCGGGATGTCATCCCGTTTCTAAAGTTCTCAGTGCCAAAAGCGCCGAGCAAAGGGCAGGGTGTGGGGGTTCCGCTGCACCCGCACACTCACCTATTTGAGAGAGGGAAAACATATAAATTTTTAAAAGGGTGGCAGCAGGGAATGAGCCTCGTTGGAACTACGTGGAGAGCGTAAGGAAAAAATATTGCTGGTGTGCGGAGAGGTGACATTTGCAGGCACTAGGTCTGCGAGGGGAGGCTGAAGCGAAGAAGGAAACGAAGCCAAACTCCCATTTTCAAGCCACCTCTCCCGGTGACCCACAGTGGTTCCCGAGGAAAAGCCCCCGCACGCTGCGATGCCTCTTGCGAGGCGACTGCGGACCGGCGAGCAATAGTGCTGCTGGGGAATATTTCTACAGAGATTGAGCTCCCAGATAAAAATAACCTTGGGAAAAAAAAAAAAAAAATAGACCATTCAGATTTCTTCGGTCCGGTATCAGATCACTCCTTCACCCCTCGCCGCCCCCCCGCTGCCTCTGCATACCTGAGGTGCTGGATTATTGTCAGAGGACAGGCAGATGCCGTAATTGTTTTGTACAGCTTTGTTTATCTCCTACTTCGGAGTTTACCTCAGGAATTCTCCCCCCTGTCCTGTGTAGGTTAGAAATATCCCCGCAAAGGAGCGGGATAACGAATGGGAAGGTTAACGCTGTACCGGCAGCGAGCGGGCAGGTAACAAGGGGTTCAAGGAGGTTTAAAGTTTTTATCGGTAACTTGGGTCCGCCCGGGAGCGAAATATTTGAAGTGCAGCACCTTGAACACGTTTAATTATGGGGTAGTAGTAAAGCGAGAGCTTCCAAGTAATTAGAAAATACTTCTTGGGAGACAGGCTAATCGCTTTTCATGGGGCTCTTGAAGAAATTAACCTCTGGGTGCTTGTTTGAGCAAAACAACTTTGGATCAGCCACTGCTGGTCTTCTCTGGTGAACCCGACCCGCTGCGAAATACAAAGAAAATAAGGAGATGAATTTAAAATTAAATACAAATTAAAAGAATAAGGGAAAAGAAAACGGGAAAGAAAAAAGGATAAGAAAAAGGAAAGCAAAAAGGGAAAGAAAGAGGAAATAAAAAGGAAAAGAAGAAGAGGAGAGGAAAGGCACACTGTCCCCTTCCTTCAAGGTGGCGAGTGATGCGTGTCACCGCAGGGAAGCCACCTCCAAAGAAAAACGTCACTTAGGGGGAGAGCCGGCCGTCGGGGTGCGGCGGACACCGGGGCCGAGCCATCCCCTCCCCACCCTGCTCGGCCCTCGGCGGGGCCGCGCAGCTCCTCGGGGTGCGCCCCGTCGGGCGGTGGCACCGTGCGGGCCCCGGACGGGGATCTCGGGTCGGCTGCGGGGGCAGGGCGCGCCCCGCCTTCTCGCTCCCCTCTCGTTTTCCCCACGGAGGATCCGAGCCCTGCAACCTGTTCAGCCCCCCCAGCCTTTCATACATCCAGTCGCACCTTGCTCCCTAATTTTGTTCCGGGGTGTTTCTCCCTAAACACAAGCAAAGCAGCTGCGGCAGCTTTCCCGTCCTAAAGAGGCAAGGGCTTTTGCGGGGTCCAGAGGGTGACGGGCCGGCGTTTTGGGGGGCAGCACGTCGCCGCGATGCCGTTTGGGGAGCGGTCAGGGCAGATCAAAAGCTCCTGTCCGGCTGCTGGAAGGACGAGTCAATTACCGCCGAACCGCGCTGCGGGGAGGGGACGCAACCCCCGAGCAGCCCGCGGGCACCGGGCCGGGCCTGTTCCGCCCCCCCCCCCGGACCCCTTTGTATCGCCGCCGCTCGCTTAATATTATTTATGCGTTTCTGCAAGGAATTGTGGGATGCCGGCCCCCTCCCCGGTAAACACCGGGACAATTAAACCGCCGGTAACTCATCGCCGGTCAGGGCTGGGGGGCACAGGCGGAAGGGGGACAGCGGTGCGCTCCCCGCGGCGGGGCACCCCCGGCTCCCCCCTGCGCATCCCCGCGGCGGCCGGGCCCGTCCGGGGGAGGGGCGTGGGCGCTGTCACTTACCGGGGCGCCCCGCACCACGTGTGCGCTCGCCCGGCCTTCCATTGGCCCGAGGCACGTGTCGGAGCGCCCGGGCCGGCGACGTCAGCGGCGGGGGCCCCGTTAAAACCTAAAGGACAACAACCCGAGTGGAAGTGCCCGGGCGCGGCGGCGGCGGCCGCCGGGGCGTAGCGCGGCGCAACCTGTGTGTGCGTGTATATATATATAAATATATATATATAAATATATATATTAAAAAATTTAAATAAAGAACAACCGACTGCAGCAGCAACAACAGACAGCGCTCGGCAGCGCCCGGTCGGCGGCGGGCGGGCAGCGGAGCCGTCGGCGGGGCGGCCGCGCAGCATGGAGGAGGGCGGCCGGAGCCCCCGGGAGGAGGCGGCCGAGCCGCAGGAGTCCGGCGGCGACGCGGAGCCCGGCGGCGGCGGCGGGCGGCGGGGACTGCTGCTCCCCCCCGGTGACCCCCCGCACCCCCATCCGCACCCGCACCGCATCACCAACTTCTTCATCGACAACATCCTGCGGCCCGAGTTCGGGCGGAGGAAGGAGGCGGGCGGCCCCGACGGAGAGCCCCGGCGGCCCGGCGCGGAGAGCCGCCGCAGCCCCGCCGCGGCGCCGGCCCCCGGGGCTCCGCTGCCCGGCGGCGGGGCGGGCTCGCCGGGCCGGGGGGAGGGCGGCCCCGCCGGGCTGGCCCTGCACGGCGCCGCCAAGAAGGGGGGGGACCCCGCGGCGCTGGAGGCGGCCCTGAAGGCGCGGGGACTGAGCGGCGGCGACCTGTCGGTGAGCTCGGACTCGGATAGCTCCCAGGCCAGCTCCAACGCCGGGAACCAGCCCATGCTGTGGCCCGCCTGGGTGTACTGCACGCGGTACTCGGACCGGCCCTCCTCAGGTAAGCGCTGCCCCGCCGCGGCCCCGCTCCGCACGGCCGCAGCCCCTTCCCCGGGCTCCCCGGGCCGCCGCCGCCCGCCCGCGAGGCCGGCAAGCGGCGTGGAAAAGACCCCGCTCCCTTTTCCCTCCCCGTCTTCTTCTGGTTATTTTTTTTTTCTGTTTGGGTTTTGCTTTTTGGGGTTTTTTTGGCGGGTGGGCTAGTTGCTTAAAATGGCCTGAAAAGCTGGAGGATGAAGGGTCGGCCGGGGGTGCGCGGAGCCGCAGGGACGAGGAGGGAGCGGGGGTCCCTCCCTCTGTCCCCGCCGCCGCGGCGGAGCTGAGGCCGCCTGGGCTCGGGGATTTCCCACCAACTGACGAGTTTTATCAAAGAGGGAGGAAAAAACAAACTGTCTTTGGGCTCCCCACTCATCCTCCCGGCGAGCTCTCCTTTTCCCTGCCGGGAAACCCCCCCTGCGCTGGGTTTTGGGAAGGGGAGGTGGCATTTCCATAGGCCTCGCCTTGTTTTGATTAGTCTTTTTGGCCAAAAACAATCCGCGATCGTTTATTTCTCTAAAAGAGGCCTCCGAGCCGCCGCCGTTTCTTTTCTTCCTTTTAATTTCCCCCCACATGCTGTAGGTCAGCTCTGTGGGGGCCGGAGGACATTTCCAAGAGCCGGGAAACTTCTTTGGCAGAGTCCATCCCTTGGCAAGGGCTTAGGCAGAACGTCCTGAAATTATCTTTAAAAAAATTAAAATTAAAACAAAAAAAATTAAAATAACAAGCAGGGGGTAAAATGTCCTTTCGCTACCGCGGGGACAGGAGGGCTGGCTCCGGCACATCGGTAAAATCCCGGTTAAAAACAAGTAGAAAACACTGGAGGAAGGCATGGGAAACATCAGGCAGGAGATCTGCTCGCGGGGAAAAGAAAAAAAAAAAAGGGTCTTTCTCTTAAAAAAGCGGCGAGGTAGGATTTTCACCCGGGAGTCGGCTAGCTGAGGAAGGGATCGTAAAACGAGACGAAAATTAGTTCGTAATATCTGGAAACAAACTCTTACTCAGAGGTAATATTCAGAGCTGAATTGGAATTTACTCCATTGTTCTCCAGTGCTCTCCTTTGTTAATATTTAATTAACATACATCCTCACAATGGCTCGGCCCGGGCAGAAAAGGCTCCTTGTGCTGCAGAGAATAATATTCCCGAGAATAATCCCGGCGATTCGGATCGGGCCGTGCAGCGCCATATGGGCACTGCAGCGGAGGGGTGGAATGCTTCTGGCCAAGTAAACTTTTTTAAAAAAAAAAAAAAAAAAAATTCTGTTCAGGGTATAAAATTGAGCCCCGTGCCTCTGGCCCTGCTTGCCGGGCATTCCCGGGACACAGAGGCTCGGGAACTGCGTTTCTGGCTGGGGAGGAAGGGGCCGGGGGAGCCGAGGGGGGGCCAGCCGGGCAGCGCGGGGGGCGCCGGGGGCTGCGGCTCCCGTTCCGCCGCCTCCCGAGCATCCCCGGCAGCGGAGGCACAAAGCGGGCTCCTTCCCCTGGAGGGGGTGGTGCTGCCGGGGCCGGTGCCCCCCGGGCGGGAGCTCTGCCCGCAGCAGAGCGCGGCGGTGTCGGTGCTTCTCCTCTCTCCCGGCCGTAGGTCCCCGCTCCCGCAAACCAAAGAAGAAGAACCCCAACAAGGAGGACAAGCGGCCTCGCACCGCCTTCACCGCCGAGCAGCTGCAGAGACTCAAGGCCGAGTTCCAGACGAACCGGTACCTGACAGAGCAGCGGCGGCAGAGCCTGGCCCAGGAGCTCGGGCTCAACGAGTCCCAGATCAAAATCTGGTTCCAGAACAAACGAGCCAAGATCAAGAAGGCGACGGGCAGTAAGAACTCCCTGGCAGTGCACCTCATGGCCCAGGGGCTCTACAACCACTCCACCACGGCGAAAGACGGCAAGTCGGACAGTGAATAGCCAAGGGAAAGGGGGGGTGGGGGGGCCGTTTGCAGTCAAAGTTTATACAATGCAATAATTTAATTAAAAAAAAAATAAAAAGAAACGTAAGGGCCAGTGTATAAAGATTATACCAGCATTAATAGTGAAAATATTGTGTATTAGATATAATTCTGCAATATTCTATGTATATATAATTTACAGGTAAGGTGGTGTAAAAATCCAAGATATCTGATTATAAAATATTTTTTTTGTTGTTGTTGGTTTTGGTTTCGGGGCTTTGGGCTTGTTGTTTGGTTTCGTTGGTTTTTTTTGGATTTTTTTTTTTTTTTGGTTGTATGAAGTTTTAGATGCTATCTTTAAGATTTTTTTTTAAAGCTTAAGTTACTTTTTTATAGACTTAAGCGCAGTTTTAATGGACATTGGACGCTGTTTTTTTGAAATTCAAAAAAAAAATTAAAAACAACTTTTGCTGAAGTCCAAAGATTTTTATTGCTGCATTTCACACGACTGTGAACCGAATAAATAGTTCTCCTATTTGTTCTATGAGTTTTAACTTTTTTTTTTCACCCCACCCCTAACCTTTTGTTTTTCCTTTTTTTTTTTTTTTTTTTTTTTCTGGAGTTGGGGTGTCTGGGGCTGATTTTGGGGATAGACGAGGAGAATTTAATTTTAAAAGAAAGAAAAGATATAAGTAACGTTAGGGAAACAAATCTCGAAGCACCGTCTTGAAACAAACCCGGGGTCCTTCCCTGATCCTCTCTGCTCCTTCACCACCTCCAAGGAGAACCACGGGCGCCCGTGGCTGCGGAATGCAGGCGTGGATGCTGGGTAGAGATGGGGTTAGCACCCCCCTTCCCCCTCCAGCTCCTCGGGATAACTTGGGGAGCCCCATCTCCCAAAAGCGGGATGCTGCTCCCTCACTGCCCCGCCGTCCCGCCGCGGAGGGCAGCGAGGGATGGGACCCGGCTCTGCTCCGGCATCACCTCCCCGAAACATTTGGGAGCGTTTTAGCCCCCCCCCTTTCCCCAAAAAGTCCCATTTTTAGTTGTTCCTCCCCCTCCGCAGCGCGGTCCCCGCCAGCGCCACGCTCCGTGGGTGGGTGTTTGTCCCCACACCCCCTTCCTCACGCACGCACCTCCCTGAAATCGGAGTTTTTGGGGGTCCGAGGCGCTGTGCTGCGTTGAACCCGTTTGTCCCGGAGCGTGGGGTCCCTGTCCCCGCTCCGGAGGGGGATTTGTCCCGCGTGGGGCTGGGTGTGCGTGGGCGGCTGCTCAGGAACGGATTCTCCTGCGACGCTTTTTTTGGGTTTTTTTTTTTTTTTTTTTGGGGGGGGGGAAACTTCTCGCTTTGCCTTAAAACCTCTTTATTTTGCAGCTCTAATAGATATACACTGTACATAGTAGTATAAAATTTTAAAAAAGGAGGGAAAAAAGGAAAAAAAAAAAAGGAAGGAAAGAACCCAGCTATAAAATAAAAACTGTAATTTTAAGTTCTGTGAATAACCATCAGCTGCTTAGGGGCCAGGATTAAATGACTTCGCCTTTTAGCAAGAAAGCAAAGGATTTTTTTTTCTTCTCTCCAGTTTATAAAACATGTGCATTTTACAATTGCAGTATCAAATATTTATAATCGGATGAAATATGAATGTTTCTATTTACAACTGTGTTCTCAACATTGTGAACATTCTCGCTGCATTTTGTGTGTTTCGATTCTCGAGGACTGCATAAAATAATAATAATTAAAAAAAAAAAAAAAAACAACCAAAGAACACACTTTATTACGAAATGCAACCCGTGTCACTCAGACGTTACAATGGAGCTATTCGGGAATATATATCCCTAAATGTTCATACAGCCTTCAGACTGCACTTCTGAGCGTTGGAGCTGGAATTAGAAGTATGTAGTAGTTTTAATTCTTTACAGGGGTGTGTGGTGGGGTAAAATCCGTGGCGATTTATGAGAGAGGTGGTTTTGCAGCCAGGCGTTTCATCAGCCTTTTGACTTAATGAGGAAACTTTGGGGGATTCATTCCTAGGCTGAAGGAGAGGACGAACGCCAGTCGGCACCGAGCCCCTCTCGGGCACTCCTCCTCCCGCTCAAAAGGAGCTGAAAACGGAAAGGAAAATCTCTTTAATCTCACGTACTGTCAACAGGTTTCACCTTTTCAAGACTTTAAATACCCGGTGGTGTGATGCTCTGACAGGCTGCGTTTGGAAAAGCTCTGCTAGGAAAACACGTAACCCTGGAGCTCGGGAAGAGGGAATGGAATATTGCCGATGCCACGCCACGAAACCAGGCACCCTGTAAAATACTTGGCAGCCCCGGGAAATGACAGTACCACGATTTTAGGACAGGCTGGACAAAAATAAAACGATCATCCGCCTTGCTGCGACAAAGGGCACAAGAGCTCCGAAATAGCTTTCGGCAGGCAGGAGAGGGAGGAAGGGCAGAACCTCACTCACCATCAGGGTCGCTCCTGCTGCAGGGGACGCGTTCCCAGATAAAACCAAGGAGAATGTGGGGGGGGAGGGGGGGGGGCGAGGGGCAAGTGTATTTAAAATTTTATTTTGTACTTTATTTTTCTCAAGCTGCTACTTTGGGATAAATTCTGCAAGGGGCAAAATTCTCCAGGAGCGGAGCGGCCACTGGGACAGTGCACCAAGGGCTTCACCTGCCCGGAGGACCTGGGACCAGGGCTGAGTGCGGGGATGCTGCCAGGATACTGTGGGCTCCTGCTTTCCATCTTGCTTTATTTCCCCAGCCTCTCTGGTTTGCGTGCTTTTGAGATACATATATATTTATTTATTTCCTTTTTTTTGTCACCTCCATTAATGGAGGCAAGTGATTTATAATCCCTTGGGAGAAAATCGATGGCAGTGGACGCTTAAGAAGAGTTTTAAATCTGGTTTGAAAAATAGCTTCCGTTGTGCGACTGTACAAAATGGCACCGTGGGTGTGTTACACGAGGATGGCTGAGTCCCATGGAGACATTATTTGTATTTTTTAAGGAAGTCACTAAACCTGCAGTGGGAGAAAAATTGGCCCTGCTCCTAAGAGTGCAGACAGAAGTGGAGTTTCCACCTGTCCTCACCCAGCCTGGTAAGAAAAGCTGGGAGCAGAAAACAGATGTGTGACACCAGCAGGAATATGTAGTTTTAAGTTAAAAAAAAAAAAATTAGTAGTAAAACTTCTCCAAGCTAGTCCAGTCTGTGGAGCAAGCACAGACACTATCTCGCTGCTGCTTGGATTTTATCCAGGCCTGAACACAAAATATTTGCCATTGGTAAGCTGTGCCTTCAGTGGGAGCAGCGAGTTCCTCACACGGGCTGTACTTCTCACCTGCCTCGGATATTTTGGGGAGGCGCAGGTCCGGAGGGACTCGCTCCGCTGCTGCCTTCGCCAGCCTGGAGCGGCTGCTGCTCCCCGTGCGCCGTCCAGGACGCGCTCCCACGGCCGGGCAGCGGCTCCCCGCTGGCTCGGGAAGGACCGCACAGCTGAATTAGCCCTCGATAATTTAAAATGTGCAATTATTTGAACAGGAGGAACTGCCGCACAAGCTCCTTTTGCAATTTTAGCAGAACAACAAGCCCTTTCTGAAGCAGCCTTTTTTTGTTTTGGAAAAGGCAGAATCCCAACCCACAACGGCTCCGAAGCCGGGCTACAGCCTCCCCCAAAATCCGGCTGCTCCGGGGCAAGGGTAGAGGCAGGACTGGCCCTGGAGTCACACGGCTGGCAGCGTTTTTATCCTGGCAGGCAGCTCTGCCTGAGATTTCCCTCCCCCATCTAGCGGGGCAGGCTCTTTTCCCTCCAGCCAGGGCAGCGGAGTTCAGTTAAAAAAAAAAATCTAATAAAAAGAAAAAAAAAAAAAAACCAAACTAACTAATCAAACGAAACAACCAACCCAGGAAAGTATTTCAGGGCTGAACAAAAATACATCTGCACTTGCCCGCGCCAGCCAGCCCCTCCGTGTAATTAATTAAGCGTATTTTTCCCGTAACTCTGTTCAATGAGCATCTGAGCTCGGAGGTTTAGTGAAGGTGTTCCTCCGCTCCGCTCCCTGCTAACGCAGGATGTGGCACATGCATTGTACAAACCCACACCCAGGCACGATGTATGCAAATGCCCGCGCCATTGATTGTGAAATGCATATCAGAGTTAGAGGGGGAAACTATTTAGCTAGCTCGGGTTTGTGGAGAAAAAAAAAAAAAAAGAAAAAAAAAAAAGTAATTCTGTATCCCGCTGATTTAATATCCGACCGCCACATTCAATCCCCGCCCATGCAGCTATCAAAAGTACCCCTGGGATGTTTGGATATCATCTCCAAACTAACATCTGTGATTATGAAACGCTCAGAAGGGGAAGGTTAATAACAATTTGTTTCAAAGGGCCACGAGTCAATTTTATAAACAAATTCGCGTCGACTTAAAAACAAACAAACAAACAAACAAGCAGCGTGGAAGCTGGCACCCACGGGCAGGGGCCGGACCGGGGTGCTCGGGGCAGGATTTGTGCCCGCTTCCCGCAGGGATGGAGCAGAGGCAGCCTGGGACGGGCCCGGGAGCAGCAGCCGCGGATGGTGCAAGGGGGTGTGCAGGGGGGGAAGTTTGTGCTGTGACAGCCCGGGGGATGCTCCGTGACTGCTGCAAAAACGCACCCAGAGCCATTTGGGAAGCGTAAGGTAGTGCCGGGTGTCTGTACAGAAAGTTGGGACGGTCCCTGACAGCGGAGCTGGGCTCTGTGGAGTAGGAGAGGGGGCAGGTCCGGGCTGTGCAGGGCTGGGGAGGGGTATCCATGCCCTGGGCTCACCCCTCACACACACCGAGACCAGCCTTGAAGCTAAAACCAGCACTAGCTCGCCCTCAATCTGCTCTGGCGCTTATTTTGGGACCCTTGGCAAATTCAGGCGAGGCTGGTGGCCAAAGCCTGGCCCCAGCACCGGGAATAAGTGGCCTGGTTGAGCCCAGGCAGGAAAAGACGACAGAGCCGGCAGCTCCAGCGCCAGGTACGCCTGGAGCCCGG